AACGGTTTTTAGCAGTTACATCTATGTAAATGTTAGTTAATATTGTGCGACCAATTCATTGAACCGTTAACTTTACTACAATTTTACTATTATTGTTAAAAGATAAGAAACGAAACAGTAAAACAGGAGGATAGGATTAGCGTTGGTCAGCAAAAGCTTTGCAGTAAATTACTAGTTTGGCTGTTCTTCACAGTTGACAAAGTCTTTTTGGTTGGTAATTTTTAAGCATTTTGGCTTTATAGCAATTTGTTTTTTTTTTTTTGTTTTAAATTTATGTATTTTAGTGTTTTAGTTTGCTTCAAGTTGCATAATTGCGCATCGTTTTTAATTTATTTATTTGTAGAAGCGTGTCGCCTATGAAGCACGCCCACGTTATGCCACTGTAAAAGGAGGGAGAAATAGAAAAAAGCTTGGGTAAGAAAATAAAACTGGGCAAGTGTTAGTGACTACTGATATAAGAGGTAATAAAATGCATATCGCTTATACAATTTTTTATTTTTTTTTTTTTTGGGAACATAAAACAAAAATGGGATGGCATGGTTGATGTTGCAATGTGAATTGGGTGAGCAAATTAATGTTATATAAATATGAATTAATATGGATTACACAGGGGAACAATTTTCAGACACAACGACTGGACCATCTATTTCCTATGCAATTTTTTGCGCTGAGTCCAAATCCGGTGGGAGGATTTCGCCAGCATGCAAGGTTTATGAGATACTGAAACCTAAAAGTATTAAAATGACCATTTTTGGCAAATTTCAAACACTGATATAATCGAGAATACATATACATACGATATGGGCATACTTAGGAGAGCCCAACGAAAATCTAACAACTGTATGCCTCACCACCACGGTATGGGAATCTGCCATATAAATTATCTAATTGGCGTGATCTCCCTACGGCAGAACTTTTACCAACATACACCGAAAAAGTTTTTCATTTGCGACAGTACTCTCTGCTGTTTCATATTTCCAGTCTCAAACTATTATAAACTAAATACTTAAGACACAAACTTCAAGCGAAAGTATTGACATTATTTGAACGTGTAATTTGTGATATAAAAAAAGCTCGAAACTTCAACTGTTCTGTAAAATTTTTATAATACAATATATCCCTTTAAAACTGATTTGGAAGCACGAATTGCATCCCAGGGTAGGTAGGTCCATGATGCCTAGAATAAAGGATTGTTTTTTTTTTTTCAGCCCAAGCGCTTTATTTCCGTGGCCCTAAAGTGAGGATGGATATATAGATAAATTTTAAAATTAGGTGTACACCGCGACCTAGTAGTCTACTATACTTCTTCTAAACCCAAATTAATGCGTAAGTTCACCAGTACTTTCGGGGATAGGGAGTGAATGTGCTTAAGCTGCGGCCACATTGAGCATCAACTACTTCCGCGTCTTCTACAGACTGCATCACACTCGGTGAGGATGTGTCTCGCGTGTAGAGTCGCAGAACTAGCAAAGGTCATTTGACCATATCCCCAGCTTTTATAGATGTCCTCTTAGCCTGCAGTGTTCTGTTCTCCTTTGGGAGGCTAATTAAACTTTGGAATCCCCTTTTGTTATAGCCTCCTAGTAAGATCTTTGCCTGACGCGTTCCTGAAGAACTATGCCACTTTAAAACCCTCATGGTGTTCCTCTGCCGCCTCGTTACCCTCCACTCCCTTGTGGCCAGGTACCAATACTAACTTGATGAATTGTGCCTACTAATGGGGTAAGCTTCTGAATGCACTCAAGAACTATCGATGATTTGACCTCATAGGACATAAGAGCCTTGAGTGCCGCTTGGCCATCGCTTAGAATTATCATTCTCTCGTTTATAAACCCTCTACTAATGCTTGTCTCCGCACATAGATAGATGGCGTAAACTTCTGCTTGAAAGATGCTCGGATATTTCCCCATAGGAACAGATATGCTGGTCCTGGGTTGGACGAATCCAGCCCCTATCCTTTCTGGGGTATTCGATCCATCTGCGTACCAGTACACGGAGCAACCCTGAAGTAGTTCCTCGAAGATGGAGATGCTCTTCCCAAAAACTATGGTTATGCCTATGCCATCTCTAGGGAACAAAGCTAGTGGGAGCGAGAACCCTAGCTTCTCCATATTCCTGGAGCATATGACCTTACCTTTTACAAATCTCTCTATCGAAATGCAAAGAAGATTTCTTTTTGTTATCTGCTCTATGGTTATATGAAGAGGCTTAAGTTCGAGATCTACTTTCAGCACCGTCGTCGGGCAAGTCGCATCGTTCCACTTATGCATTTGTTTTAGCATGGCTAGAGTAGTTACTGAAACCCAAGCTACCACCCCATAGGTAATCATTTCCTGTACGAGGACATAAAGTATTAAGTGCAAGAAAAAAGGGGAAAATTTCAACAACAAAAATCCAATTCCTTCCGGATTTAACACCTAATAAAAGTCAAATAAAATAGGTTTAATTGCAAGCATTCGAGACTGTCACAAGCTTTACGTAACATAAATTTATTGCGATCCCAGATCCACTATAAAAATGATTTCCTCTACACGACTTTAATCGCAAATGAATTTCTTATTTGAGTATGTTGCATGTCGAAAGCAAACACAAACAATTGCCATGTGTGCTAAATTTGCACATCAATTTTCCAGGCTGCCAAAAAAAAAATACAAAGCCACCATGTCATAGACCAGAAAAAGGGCTTAACTCAGCACGCTCATCGCCAAAAACTATAAATCATTTATGTTGCATGTCAAAATGTGCCAATTAAATATGTGTGAATTTCACTGTGAATGCTTACCTAAAATAAAACTACAGTTTCGATAAAACAAATGCATACTAACATGCTCCAAAAAAAAAATAAAGTGTTTTCGCGACACACATTTGTTGGTTTTTCTCCTTTTGTTCAAATAAGTGTCACCATTTTTTTTTTTGCGGTTACTGACTTGGCGAAAGCGCCGCACTGACGCCGCGCTGCGACAAGTTACAATGATAGGGAAAACTTTTCATTTTAAATGATCATAAAAAGGAGTAAGGTATTTTCTTGTAAAAACAGAAGGAGCGACAAAGCGCTGACAGGCCACAAGAAAAAAGGAGAGTGAAGTAATGCCAATACCAAAGGAATCTGAATACCTAAGCGTGTGAATATGCATTTATGTATGTATGTATGTACATATGAGAGTGAAAAAGTTTTACGTTGCATTGAATGTATGATGACAAACTCAAAGGAAAAAATTAAACAAAAATAAAAAACAAAAACACCCGAAAAACATGACAAACTACCAACCAAATAATTTCGGTAGTTTGCCTGCCAACAGTGACAATGACAGCACTTTATGCCATGTGGTATGTTGCAGCATGTGGTATGTTGCGGCATGCCACCCAACCCGCCCTACTAACTGAACTAAAGTTCATAAGTGAATACGTATGAGTGTGTGTATGTTTGTGTTTGAATTTTTCATACCTTCCTCGTCGCCCAACTTGTAGACCAGCTCCTTGGCGCGATTCGGTATGTTGTCGAATTTCTCGAGTATGACTCCTTTAATGTGTTGCGCCCAAAGACGTTTCTGGTCACGATTTTTGGCTGTCAATTTGATTTGATTACGCGGCTCATGGTAGGGTATTACATAAAAGCTCGTCGGTTCGCCGGGCAAATGTTCGCTTAGCATTAGATTATTTTGCTGTGTGTGAGAGAGAGAGAGAGAGTGAGAGAGACAAATAAAAGAGCACAAAGGAAGTACAAATAAAAATCAATAAGTAACTATGCCAGCAAATAGTAAATCTAAAAGTTAGAAAAGAAAGTATGCTGCTGAAAATGAAATGGAAATGGAAGTCGATTTGGCAATGACTTGCCGTGTAAGTATTTGGCTTACACGTAGGGCTTATCTGATTGTCACTTACGTGTATGTAGCTCTTGAATTGTAGACGATTATCCTCTTTGGGTTTGGTAATGATCAACATTGTGTCGAATAGGAAGACCATGCGTGGCTTATTGTGCTCCATGAGGAGACCTTCTTGGCGTAGTTCGCCCAAAACGGTGAGTTCTGCAAATTTGATGGGAACAATTTATTTAGCTCAATATACGTATACAGTGACTGAGACAAGTGTTCACATTTTGATTTTTATGAATATTCACAATGACTTTAAAAAAAAAATTTTTTATTTTTATAAAAATATTGTTTATGCTATAACCAACCCCACATAAATGAAATTTCAAACTTTATATAAAATTTAGAAAAAAACTTAACAAATTTTAATCAAAATTTCGAATTTTTTAATCTGAAATTTTTAGAACATTTTTGGGTAAGCAGTTTGGCCGACGATAAAATTTTTGCAAACAAATTTCAGAAATTTTATATGTTGCACATTGTTTATGAAGAACACACAAGACCGGAACAAAAAAAAAAATATTTGTTGTACAAAAATTTTATGAGCTATACGCAAAGTTTTCTAAAATTAGGGTAAAATGTTTGAAAATTATATGAAAAATTGTTGAATTTTCCGAAATTTTATATAAATTAAGGCACTTTGATTTATATGGATTATATTTTTATAGAAAATTAAAAAAAAAAATTGGCATGAAAAACATTGTTAATACTAAAAAAATTAACACTTGAAAACTTTTTCGAGTCAGTGTATATGTAAGTAGGTACAATTGTCTAACCATAACCTATTGCAATTTAAGTAAATACAAATAAATTTCTTTCACTTCAACTAACTCACCTGGTCCTAACCACCCATCTAATATGCCGGAGAGTTCTTTAACTCGAATTTGTTGCTCCAACTTACGCTTCACCTGATCGATATTACGCGCCACTTGTCGCATGATTTCGTAGGCTTGCAACACTTCCTTCACATCGCAATGTTTACGAAGGTTCTAAGCAAAGCAAGGAAAACCAAAATATTTACATACATACATACATATATGGGAAGTATTAATAGCTTATTATTTCAACTCACGTCCAATAGTAGATGATATTTAAGTATACGTTGCACTGGCTTCAGCAAATATGAGCCGAGTGGCAGCTTGTGTTGCAACATTTTTTGTGTGGACGTCAGCAGTGCGTTGGTGTGTGTGGCCTGTAACAGTTTGGTCAGCAGTGATATGGCTTCAGGATAGCTTGTACTGCAAAGGGAAGGAGAATAATGATGTAAATAAGATAATCTTTAAAGAACACAAAATGAAAGTAATAAAGAAAATTATGTAAAATAAAGCATAATTTCAATTCTATAGACTTCGTTGTCTTATTTTTAAGAGATCCTAATTTTTTCACTTTAAAAAAAAACCTCAGTCGCTTGATTAATAATGCCCAATATTATAAGTTTGGCCATTACAATCCACGCCATATCTTACAGTGGCTATGTAGGCATTTTGCGGATAAATAAAGAGGGGACTCTTACACAATTCAAAGTCTATTTACAGAAAATCGGTGAAAATTCCAGCCTGAACACGCTTATATGGCCCACACCATGGATCAGCCTAACTGACGACTCCTCACGCAGCTTAGTCCATAATGAAGTGCATCGAATACTGGGTGATCTACTCAGATTTAACCCTCTTCGGGTAATGGCATCTATACCCAGGCGGACGACCTTCTTTCTCAGTAACTCGGGAAACCACTTTTGAATTTGACACTCCTAAAAAGGGAGATGAGCGTTCCTCTAAAAAATAAAAATAAAAATAAAAAATAAAAATGAAAAAAAAAAACTGTCACGTGCTACAAGAAATCTAAAGTTCGATTCTTCTCGCTTAAGTCAACTTACATATCTGGGAGGCCTGCAATGAAAATACTGAGTGGCCTTCATTAGTAAGCTCACCACTTATCGTACAGCGTCTGATCTCGGACTTAATGCTTTGCAATCTTTACTCGACCCTTTGCTGATATAGAAAATATTCCGAAGATAATAGGCAGCATATTTAGATCAAGACAAGGAAGAAGGAAGGAGGATCCTTAGGCATCATTGGATGTACGTCCAAGCCGCATTGGTAAAAGTAGAACTGCAGGTTAAAGCAGGACAGCTCAGGTCTGTTCCACCATGTGCTGGTTAGTTCCAGGCAAAAGTCAATATTGATTTATTTTGGAACGAGTTTACGGCAACCTTTGTCAGGTTTGGTATAAAGACAAACCTGTTTCGGAGTTTTTCATCTTCAATGTAATTTTTCGTTCTCACATCGTGTCGGAAAAGTCAACCAAATAAATATTGTCGTTCCGTGACGATAGTAGATTGGGAAAGTGGTTTAAAAGTGTCAACGCCATGGGCAAAGTATGTATAAGAAGTCTACCCGGCAGCTCGCCTGAACCACGGTGAGAGCTGCGATAACAGTCGTGTCATCGGATTCAGCGCAAACCTTGGAAATGCTCCAAAAGTTCAACCTGTACTTATCTACACGCAACTACAGAGTAGTAAATATGTGCAATGCAGATAGCTCCGGAAACCCAGACTTTCTAATGAAGAGTGAAAACTAGGACAACTATGTCTTCGGAATGCCTACTCTCAAAAAACCAACAAAGCCAAAAGCGAAGCACTAGTGAACCACCACCATTCGTGAAAATAGTAGAGCAACGCAGCGATCATGCAACGCACGACGTAGAGTGCAGATCTAAGAGTGAGCCGCGCGGGCTCAGAACAATCTTTGATAAAGCTTTCATCGCTCTCAAAGCTTTCAAGCTCCTTACTATGGTTCCAAGTGGTGATCTTCATATAAAACAATTTCATTACACTGAAGCAGCAATGTAATTCGTTAGCTCTCAGGTAAAATAGATATCACTCTGGTCCGAGAGCCATAGTTAAGACTAACATAAAATCATTTATCTTAAGGTCATGTACTTATTGAGGAAATATTCGTCGATATTGTGGAGCTCCAAAAGCGTAAATATTGGATGAGCTTATTTTTACCAATCGCTACGCTGCAGAAACTGGCGAATAATGGAAGAAGATGAGATCGTCGCAATGGGGCAATACTTAGATGAATAAACGAGGTTACTTGCTTTAAAGTAAGGTACACTTTTTACGAGTATTTTTTCATGGCAGAAGTACCATCGGGGGCTTGCCATTGCCTGCAGGGGGGCGATGGCGATTAGAAACATCCGTTTTCTTATTCTCGGACCAGGAATCTAACCTTGGACCTACGGAGCTTAAGCTCGAAATTTAAATAGCTTTTTACAGTTCTCTGGTGACAGTAAACGCCATTAACCTAGAGATTTGACCCAAGCCTTCAAAGCACTGCAAGTATATATTCTACCGTTCCACTCAATTATTTTTCATTGTCATAGTTGCTTAACGCGAATTCACTTATCGTTAAATAACTATCAAAAATGACATAGAAAAATAAAAATGCCAGCCCCTGACAGGGTCACCAACAAGCAAAAGTTTCAAATGTCAACTAAAGTGCAGTTGCAATACCCACCGCGTGCAATATGCAAAATAAAACGTCAGCAGTAAGAAAAATACGCAAGTATAGCACATAAATTGCTTTGACTGCGGGAGTCAAATACCAAAGTGACACAATGACAGTCAAGGCGGCCAAAGTGAGCGTGAGGGTGACAGCACTGGGTGGCAGCAGCGGCATTGTTGGCAACGACAAAGAATGCAAATCATGAAATCATTAAATCATCAATTTCGTATTTTTGTTTGTGTGTTTGGCTGCCACTTTTGACTGAATTCCATGGCACTGCTGCAAGTTCCAGTATCAGGTACACGAAACGTGTGTTGTTTGCCTGTCAGAGTGCCCGCAAGTAACTGACATTGACAGAGAACACAGCAGCAACGTCGAACTGATAGCGCACAGCAAGCACTCCCACAAAAAAAAAAAAATCCACATTTTTGCACAGTTAGCCCAGAACTGTCCGAATGGGTTATTGGTAATGTCATCACTTCATGCAGCGTATCTACCTTTTGTAGCCGAGCATAGAACTCAACGATGATGAAATGTTGTTTGTGAATATGGATACATTTGCAAGCACGTAAATCTAAATAAAAAAGCAGCAACAACTACAGCGAGTGAATAATCGTTGGCGTGCTTGACAGCAGCTAAACTTCTAACCAGCAACCAATCTGCAGCCATCATCCACTACCCTAGCGCGCTTTCGGAGACATCGAACAGCGAAGAGTCTGTCTAACAGGCACTCAACGCCTGTCTAACTGTCGTCGGCCAGCCGGCCAAGCTCACCAAATCGCCTAGTTACTTGGCTGCATGACTAGCTGTTGGACTCCTTGGCTGCTTGGCCGCTTGCCAAATGGCGTAACTGGACTGTCTACATTTGTGGCTGCGTGACTATCTGTATTCTACTATCGTTCGTTCGTTCGTTTGCCTGCTCGCTTGCCACTATCTCAAGAACTAGTACTAGCTTATTTCGTCGCCGCTAAACAGTCACCTATAAAAGTATGCGCACGAAGCGAAACCGTAAAATTGCACTTCTTCTGCTGCTGCTGCTTCGTCTTCTTTCGTCTAGCTTGTTCTCCAAATGAAATCAAGATCAGCGTTATTTTCTTTTGGTTTAGTTTTTTTCTTATTAGTTTCTGTGGCATTTTTTATATATATATATTTTTTTTTTTCGTTAACACGCTTCTTCCACTTTCATGCCCTGTTAACTGATTAACTATGCTGAGACATTGCTCTACTGATTTCGCGGTTAAAATTGCTTCTATGCTTCGTGGCTTTTGGTGTGCAAATAAAATTTAATTTAGTGTCCGTTCAAGCGAATAGAAAATCTCATGAATTTTAAATAATAAAATCAGCGGCACGAAATTGGCTAGCCAGTTGAGCAAAATCAGATTAGAACAGCGACAGCAAAGCAAGAATAGATGCACGCGAGTGGCTCTCGGAAGACGTTTGGTAAATAATAAAATAAAATACAAATAAAAGTCAAAACAAAAAGTGGCGCAGGCTGCGAATTATTTATGCTTTACCATGGCTGTTAAATTTAATTGCTGTTCTTTCATTAATTTCTAAATTTTTATTGCTTTCTTAATCTTGTTTTGCAATTAATAGTGATCTATTTTCTTATTAATTATTTCAAAACACTTTTGCCACCCATTTTCACTTACCAATATGTTGTGTATACATCAAATCTTTCGCGCAAATCTATAAAACATTTGGCTATTTTTCCCGGATCCATACCAGAGTTGATTAGCTGCTTCAGGAGCGTCGCATTGAACTCATAAATCTCTTCGATATTGGCGAAGAGTATTTTCAGTTCGTCATAACGTAGGCAGGCACGTTCTTTCCAGTCCGCTAGATACCTGAAAAAGGAGAGCAAATAATTAAGAATATTAAGGCCATTAAAATTTGCTTTTAATGCACTGACGAGCAGAGAAAAAATACTCATTAATTATAAAAAGTTTAAAATAATTCCTTAAATGGTATGTTAATTCGATACCAAGTGAAACACGATAAATAGAAAAAATTGGAATGACAAAATTATTTTACTTTTCAGCTCCTGGTACTTCGAGCGTTATATCCTATAAAAAGGAAAAAACTCGAATATTGTTTATGTAAACCAAAGTTTAACTCGCCAAGTTATGATAAATGTTATAATTAGGGGATTCACAAGGCGTATTAAGCGTCCTAGTATCTTAAGCCTTACAAGTTTTCTGTATAAATAAACGATTACATGATTTTAGGGGACACGCTGTGTACATATGATAGGAGTTAATTAAATATTTTCTATCAGTTCAGGAATGGGTGATTTTAGCACGAGAAATCCAAAAATGATGTCCATTTCGATCTGTGACAGTAACTTTTTCCTACAGGGGAAAAAACCAAGGCCGTCTGGAGACGGGCTCGCCGATATACTTTGACATATTTTCAGCTTTCTTTTACACAATGTTGACCTACGAACCGGCAATCCCGTCTGCAGACGGTCTGTGTTCGAAAGCAATTTTCTCCATTTCGAATGGTGACATAATTATAAAACTTATATCAAAATACGGTGCTTTTATCTACGAAATCCACCGAATTTTTTGAAATCAAAAAATTTTTCAAAAGAAAAAATGTCTTTAATTACGAAATTACTAAATAGCAAGAAATAGTTAATTTTAACCGTGCCTTCACAATCTGTAATTCAACTGCCGATTAAAATAAAACGGATTGACATAACGGATTCAAATTTACTTCGCCGTAAGGGTACGATTTTTATCTAAGGATCGTGCCTTACGAATATAGCAAAAATAATTATAATAAATAGGTGCACTAAAAAGGTGTTTAGTTAACGACCGTTTGGAGGCGGTTCTGCCTACTAGAGGGTTAACATGCCTTGTGAATCCCCTAAATATCTAAGTTTTTAAATATCTCTGAAATCCAATAAATTGCGACGCAGCTATTAATGTCTCTCGCCATATGGGTATACTCTACGATTTTTTCAATCCAGCAAGCCCATAGATTAGTCCTTGAACTCGTTTCTTCGAGAGACACGAAACTACGGTGTACGCAAATTTACTTCTGAATTAGTCCGAGAACTCAGAGCGACAAGAAATAATGTAACTTTCCTTTAAATTGCAGAGTTATTATATCAGCATCTTGTGGCCATGAGGACTAAGGGACTCACTCACAAGCAGGTGCTAGAGGTTGTACTTGCCTCGGCCAAAAGGAGTATTGCAGACGAAATGCTGAAACTAATATTGAGCTTTGACGCAAACGTGCATCAGGTACTGATTTTAAAGGTTAGTCCCTTCTTGAATTTATTAGCAAAGAGTTTATTTTCTTGATCTGCGAAATGAGCCGACTCTTTTATCAGTGAGAGAGTTCACAAGGCGGCATAATCATAAAATCATAGCATTATGCGGGAGATTTTTTTTTTTGATTGTACACAAATGAAACTAAAATATTGCAATTTCGTACTTTTAATTTTATGATTTTATGGCTCATGACACCTTGTGAATCACCTAAATACAAAGAGAGGTGAAGCCTTACACCTAATCAATTCCTCATCTATGCTGCATGTCGAGTTTTTCTCTAACTAACGTATTAAACGAGGTATTCACAGATATGGAAACCCGAACCACCAACTAACCAGGAACACCAGATAAACTGACTGGAATTTCTTCAATCTTTACATAGAGCAGGATGTAAGCATGTCTACGATATGAATTACATACTTTGATCTTGAGTTTGATTCAAAACCAACCCAATGCGTCTTAGGGTCAGTCTTGGAAGAGAAATTCCGAACGAAGGTAGGAAGGACGGAGAATGGTAAAGGTTATTTCATACCCAAAGAGAGAAAAAAAACTCCGAAAAATTTCCAAAGGCATATTGATTAAATATCCCCAGCTTCTTTAAAATCAAAAACTTAGAAAATTGAATTAATTTTCACATCATACCTATCTAAAAGTCAAGCCCTGTTGGAAAATAAGCATGCTTAATAAACACGGAAATCTACTATTGCCGAAATACGTAGCTTATATTAGGAATTGAAAAGTTTTGGAGCCCAAATATATAGCCGGTTGAGCGTTTCATGTCCTTTGGTGTGCGTTCGACAATACGTCACATGTCTGTTATATTCAAGGCTATGGACGAGATGTTCTATCTTCCTTAATATGAACCTTGGTAATCGATGAACTCCTCTAAAATGGGAAAATGACTTAGTCATCTATGTAGGGGCCTGGGATGGTGACACAATTTCCTCCAGTTTAGAGATAGCCCTAAATTTAACTAACCAAAACTAAAGTTAATTCGACTAAACCCACACAAATTGGGACGAAATGTTCTTCTTACAGCGGTTGCATATAAAGCTACTAAGACATTTATGCTTCATTTTAATATACTGATGCATCCAGCTCGATTATGGCAATGCTGAGAAAAGCATATTTGGGCTTAAGTTCGAAAATCCAAGCCGGAAAGGCTGGAGGACTCTACTGACTTATTTGGTAATAGGGGTCTGCAAAAATTACGCTAGATTTTGTGGACAGGCGAATGAAACCCTAGAGCGTATTATAGGTCTCACACTACTGTACTATAAGTTGCAGCGCTAGTAATATTCTCTTAAGTAATAATTACATATCACTCACCCTCTTATGACTTGTCCCAAGTCCTCCACAAAGCTGCGCTCTGAGTCGACTATTTCCAACATGGCACGCTCCAGCACAGTCATGCCGCTATGCGGATCCATTAGCTCGTTTTCACTTTGATCAGCCAAGCTTTCCACGCTCGCCAAATATGAGGTGGCCAACTTACCATTCAGGTGGTCCGAACCCGAGCTAGAGCTGGAGGAAGTTGAACAAATTGACGACGATGAAAGAGGACGATGCTTGAGCTTAGCAATATCTGGCAACATTGGGCCACCTTTACGTGACTCTTTGGGTGAAAATTTTGACTTAATATCAGTGAGGCGATCTAGACTTTCTGCTGACATTTTGCTTGCCTCTTCGAGCTCTTCCAACTGCTGTGCTGTAGGCAGCTGAATAGGCACCGCTCCACCCAAAGTGTTTGCCTTGGCAGCCAAGCTTTTGCAGCGTGCATAAGTGAGCATTGGCGAAGCGGAAACAGTAGATGCGCACGCTGCCGAAGAACTGCGTACCAAAGGTTTAGAGATCACTGGCTTGTTGATAGCTTCGATGAGTTCAACACTCGTCCATGACGAGTTCATGGTATCCTTATCATTGAGTGTGAGTTTCTTGAGGTCTTGTGTGAGCAGCGGATAATTTAAAGCCTCGACTATATCGCAGGGGGACAACGGTGCGGTGGCGATAAACTCCTTAGTGGGTAACGCAGGTGGAGTGTTGAGCGGTGAAGGGACATCGTTGTTGTTGTTAATTTGGTTTGGTTGCTGTTCCAACCGGAGTGGCAGTGTAGTTGTAGGTGACGCTGGAGGTATTGTATCATTCGCGACGGTTATCATTTGCGATGTTGTAGCTAATTGCTCCATTTCGATCAATTTAATACTCTCTTGGCGTTCATAGTTTGGCAGTGATAACTTGTATGATGTGTTGTTAAAGTTGAAGGCGCTTTGCGGTTCTGTAATAGCGGTGGCTACATTGTTGTTCTTATTGGTCGGCGTCACCTCACCGTCAACAGTACAACTGTCTACGCCCGGTATGTGCACCACTGCTGGGGTGGGTGGTTTCTTCAGACCACGCGTTGGCTTCGATTCGGCATACGACTGAAAGCTGAGCGCATCTAAGTACTCCGAACTGGAGTCGAAGGTCTCCACAAGTTCGTTGCCCGACTGCGTTAGCTTGCCGGTAATCTTGGAGAGCGGTATGTGCGACAACTTCACCTTGTGCACGCCATTTGGCGTAGACGTCGCGCCAGGCGGGGACGCTTTCTTGATATAGCGGTGGTGTGACGCTGGCGAGTTGAGGGGGCTAGTCAAGTGCGTTGGCTGCTGCTGCTGCAGTGCGTCAATGTCAACTGTTTCTACGCGCTCGGCGTCGGAGTGGGTTATGATGCGCTGCACGTTGGGCGAGAGTACGCGGATTTGATTGCGATGCTTGCTGGGGCTGTTCAGGCTACTGTTGCTGCCCGAACTATGTGCCAACGGGGAGTCCCGCGACAAACGCGTGCCAGACGGACTATTGATGCAGGCACCTCCGCCACTACTGCCGGTGCCGCTGCTGTTGCTACGTTGACTACACGTTGACGAGGACGATGAGAGCGAACTGAGACTACGACTACTTTGACTGTAGCTGTGTTTTATGCTGTGTTCCCGGCTGCTATTGCTGTAGGCGAGGTTAAGTAGTGCGAGCGTAGTGCTGCGACCGTCGCTGATGCCACTGCCCGCAAAACCGCTCAATGAATTCGTGGCATCGGGCGACTGTTCGCCTGATTGACGTTTATGTGGTGTTGACAAATATTGTTGTGGCTTCTCTTCACTTTCAGCGTTAGAGTAGGACGTATTCTTGTTATTGTTATCACTGCGGTTGTTACTGTTATTATTGTAGCTGTCTACATTGTAGCTATACTCGCCGCTTAGCTTTTCCTCCAAACTGAAACTTGAGCTGCGACTGCTCTTATTACTGAGCGTTGACGAGTCGCTGTGATTGCTCTTCGTGCTTGCGGTACCGTTAGAATGCAATTCAACCCTGCTGGCGTTCTCTTCGCTTTTGTTGCACCGCGCGCTGCTATTGTTTTTGTTGTTGTTTTCGCAGATTTTTAAATTTTCGCTGTTGTTGTGGCTGCCGCCGTTCTGGTTACTACCGCTTTTGCTACTTCCATCTAGTACACTTGTCAAGGTGTCGTAGATGCCCAGCAGCGATGGTGCCAACTCTGTGGAGCTGCCTGCAATGAGAAAGGGGAAAAACAACAACGGTTAGCATGGCTGCAACGAATTCCATTAGCATATATCTAGAGTTAATGAACATGATTTGATAATGCTTTTCTTATGCAAAAATTTGCATACCAGTGTTGCCATGTAGACGAAAAAATTGACATGAGCGATTGCTGAGGTACGCTTTTCGATAAAGTTAATGTTGAAAGAGATCAAACAAGAAGAATTTTGGCGCTTTTGATAATAAATATATTTGTATTTTAAATTGGAGTTGCCACCCATTTAAAAATATGTAGTAATATTTCAAGTTATATTTTGCAAAATACTGCAACATGGACATCAGACTCTTACATATTTTAGGGAAATCAATCCAAACATATTTTTAAACAGGGTTGCCACATAACTGAAAATTTAAATATACCTACGAACGAAAAAAAAATCACAGAAATCAAACAGTATAAGGAAAAGGCAGCCTCAATTCAGCATTAGCTTTAACAACGTTGCCACCTAATTAAAAAATTGGGTTACCTAATATAAGAAAATATAAATTCTGACAGAGAAATATTTATGCAAACAACCGTGTTCCAAATAAATTTGAACAAGCTTGCCACCTTATTGTAAGTTGAACATTTTTTTGTCTGGTTTAAACGATAAATGTTTACTTATACAATAAAATTATATATGTAAATAAAGTTTTAGAAACCAAAGTTGTATGCTTTTTGTAAAAGAAAATTTACAATGAAAACATTTTCAGATAGGGTTGCCAGCTGTTAATTAACTAAAATAGGTTGGGAAATTTAGGTAGACCTTATACATATAAACGAAACAGTTTGGAAATATTTCATTAAAAAATTTAGTAGAGGTGCCATCTAAGAAGTAATGACTCTGCGGAGTGTAGCACGAAACTCGAATGCCGAATTTCCACTAGGCTTTGAAATGAAAAACATAGTGGCATTTAAAAAATGAAATGTGGAAATTAGTTTTATGACTTTGTTTATAGTAATAACAATAATATTTTTTAATGCTGAAGATTGTCATTGAAATGTTTGCCATTTAATTCCGTTTGGAAATCCAGCATAAGTAATAGCTAATAGATAACATAATCACTAAAAGTGATACTATTTTCAGTTAAATTCACACAAACTTCGGCATACTAAACACGGCATGCAACAAGCGGTCGCCTTGCCACATTTCGCTGTTTTACTTTATTTATGTGGCATGCATAAAATGCTCACCTGATTGCCACAAACGCCAACGTAATTTCCTGGCATTTGCCATAATTTTAAAACATGCACCAGCCGGTACATTTGTGGCAATGAGTCAAGCAGTTAGTCAGTCAGTCAGTCAGTCAGAGATGTCGATACTTTAGTTGCCCACATATGCATTCAATTGAGTTGCATGCTACATGCAGCACTTGCATTTATTTAGTGGTAATTTCAACTGAGATTTTGCGTATTGAGTTGTTGGTCCTTAGGGCAGCAGTAAATTTGAATCGGAATAAAGAAAGCAAAAAGTGTAACTGCTCGTCCCAGACTAAATATGTATGCAAGGAATGAACGTTTGATTGATGGCGGCAAGCGAGCTGACATGACAGCCAAAGTCCGAGCGAGGCAGATGAGGCTGATTGGCAGTTGAAAAATAAGTCAGTTAGCAAATAAAAAAAAAAGCAACTCGAACGCCACTGAGCCCGTTAAAAAGCTATTTCATGCGCGGTTATTATTTATTTGTATACTTTTAAAGCGCTTAGCTTGGCAACTTTGTAATATAAATTGTGGGTCATAAGCAATCGCCAGCAGCACATGAAAAGGCTGTACTTATAAGCTGCAAGCGTTTCACTGAGTGGAGTACCATTACACACATGCAACATGCAACACATGCAACATGCAACACATGCAAAATTAATCGATAGCCAATGCACGCCAAAGTATTCAATTAATCAAATCGTACCTGGTTTTTTGCTAAAAGACAAAAGTCCTTCAACAAGTTCATCGTTCTGTCCATTGACTTAACTGCTGCCCATCCATTATAAATAGGCATGCATAGGTAAGTACAAATGTAATTGATAGTGTCTTTGAAGACCAGTGCGGCATAACTGCTGCAAGTTAAATCAATAATAATTGTTGATTGTTTTATGCTGCATTGGCAATTTACGCTCTCACGCATGCAACTATGAATGTCCAACTATTCATTTGAATGAATGATCCTATCAATTCCTTAGCCATCGCAATATGTCATTAATCGTTTTACCTACTTGGCATAAGGGCTCATAGGTCATTAGCCAATCAATTTGAAGTGAAATTAGCTTACTGACAATCATTCTCTATACAACAATGGTAAGGTAACTATTAACGAGACGCATGCTAAATTATCAAGTCGGAGTTGTAGTTACTCAACCGGAGGGTGGTATTTAGGTGGAAGGTCGCTGTAGTGCTAGAAAAAGTAGTAAAAGACAATTTGTGCGAAGTCTTTTTATTTATAGCGAACGAAAATTGGAATACATAAAGGCACTCAAATTAATTTTGTTGATGGATTGATTGAAATTAGAGAGCCTCGTTTCTCAAATTTGGGAAGTAGTAGTAGGAATATTAGTATAAGTTGAAGTAGTAAGATTAGTAGTGGCACTTGATATTAATAAGTGCCCCTTATCGTGAATTTCGCCCGAAAACTGAATCAGATTTTTGTTTTTTTCATTCGCCCGTAGTGAAAACGCGGAAGCGAATAGTGGACGATTTCGGGCGAAAATTAAACTCATGATAAGGCTGAATTTGTATTTCTAATGGTTAGGATTAGTGTCAGAAGTGCTAAAAGTATTTGGAATATGTTTTGATACCTATATTAAAAGTATAAGAATGCCAGTAAAAATGTAACGAAATTAGCAGTAAGAGTGTCAGTATAAATACTACTATATTAGTACTAGTACAGGTAGTTACGGTAGATAAATTAGTAGTATTAAAGTAGCAGTAGTGACTAGAAATGGTAGTAGCATTGATAATAGTATGAATATAATTACATACTAATTAATAATAATTATTAATAATAGAATTAATTCTGTCAAAAGTGGTAGTAGTGGTATTAGCAATAGTAATAATGAAAGTATGAGTACATATTTGTAGAATAGGGACTAGTAGTAAATTTAGTAGAAGTAAGATAAAAAATAGTATTATTAGAATAAAAAGTAGTAGAAGTAAAAAGTAGTATTGGTAACATTTGCAGCAGTAGTAGGGGAAGTTATAGTTAGTTCTGGTATGAGTAATGGAAGTGGTAGAACAAATCTTGAAAAAATTAGTGTATTACAGGCAATATAAATAGGCATATGTTAGCGTATATTAATACTGGTACTTACAATGCAAATGGTAGTATTAACATTGGCAGAAAGAGTGGGATAGTAGTAGTAGTAGCAGGAGTATGGACAGAATTAGTAGTATCGCTTCTCTTTACCGCTCAAAGCAATAATTCCAAATGAGCATTATTATATTCTTTCCGTAGTTTGTCGAAAAAATCCCGAGCTATCGAAATCTGCTGAATGCCTATTTCCTTAAACTCAACTTCTTCTTAGAGAGACAAATTTCATTGAAATCATTTAGATTACTAACGGTGAAAACCTCTGTCAACTTCTTTGTACAGCACCCCAACACTTAGTGCATTTGCATCAACGAGAAAGTGAACAAGAAATGAATGTAAATAGAATTACTTACGCGAATCAAGTTTTACTGAAAAGACAAGGCCAAAACGGTCTCAGAAAGAAAGTAAGCTAACTGGTGTTGCGTTTGCTTTGACCTGCAATCGACGAAGGAGATACATGACACTTTCAGGTGCACTCACATCCGTTCATATGGCACAATAATTTCTAAAACCTTTTCTTAGTACAAATGGGAGTGTAGTGATATCTCAATGGGACACCAAAAAGAGTATTTTCGTCATGAGCTATCAGAGCATGCCGAACATCCAGAGTTGATTTCTCCCTAAAAAAAAATGAAAGAAACTTATATGTAAATTTATTTTTAAGAAATTTCCCTTCTGACAGCTGACTACTTTTGGGGTTATCCGACTTTTGGATTGGATTCCCCCCAAGAAAACATGTTTCTTCTTTAACGCACCTTACCCCACTTCTTGGCTTCAAAGTTGATCCAGGAATTGAGGTCTCTTCTTTAAGACATTTCAAAAGCATTACCATGAGGAAGAATATGCAAAAATTATGATTTTCTTTTTATTCCACGCCACAATAAGCAATCACATTCACAACCAGTAGCAGTTTACGAGAGTTAACACGTCCGTGACTTCCAGTTACGCGTTGGGTGCTGTGCATATCAGCTCATTAGAACTAATCTAGCAATTGTTCAGTAGCTAAGCCACAAATAAACAGTTGTTAGGCAGCAAGTCGACAACAAACTGACACGTAGGCCGCATGCGCAAAGACAACAAAAGTAATAAATGTAAATGTGAAGCAACTCAACTACAGATGTGAGTTACCTTTTGCGGTTGCATGCAGCACACACACACAGTAGCCAACGGCAACTCTAATTGCAACATTGACGTTGCCAGCGATTACAGACAGCCGAGTGAAGCGAAGCGAAAGGCGAACGGACGGACACTCTGACGGCTGCTGTAGAAGTGGAAGTGGCAAGTAAATTGAAAACTTTACGCCGTTGCAGGCAATGCAGATGCGCCAATTTACAACTAGCACTCAAAGGCTGGCAGTTGTTGCTTTCAATACATATGTACATACATATGTACGAGTATATACTACATGCTTAACTGTACATACAATTCTAGCAAGTTTTGAAAAACTTTTGACAAATGCGAAGTTTTTGTTACGAATTTATGTTTCTGCCTGCCGAGCATCTGACCGCCTGGCTGAATGACTGAGTGACTTACTGCCGGACGGATTGACCAAGCCATAAGCAGACTGAGTGACTGACTTACTTAGTAATATACTAGCGAATGTTTTCATGCTTTCAACTTGTTAACTGGCTGACTGACTGACATTGATTTGCTTGCATACAGGCAAAAC